TATACATGCGTAACTCACTATATATATCGGTTATTGCGAAGAGTGTTGCTAAGGTCTCGGTAGTCTAAAGGCTCAGGACGCTCACACGGAATGTAAGAGATCCGGGTTCGACTCCCGGCCGAGGCAATATTTTTCGCAATAAGTTTATTACAGTTTTTTAAGATTTGGGAGAATTTGGGGGGATTATTTGTTTCAGATTGATTGTGTGAATCCGATAAATTCATCGGCTCTCAATTTATTTCTGAAATATTAATTCAATTTAATTGAATGGATATTAGATAGTAGTTCAACATCTTAACACTCGACCGAAGAGGCGCTTTGTATTTAAAGTCTTAATATTCATATAGACGGTCTTGTTTCCAATCATATACATAATAGTAATATAAATGTTGATATATACATATATATTACAAAGATATCCGCCAATGCCCCCACAGTAACGTCTCCGTCGAGTCCAATACGACGTATCGTTTGTCGTCTTGTATGGACTCAGAGCGATTTTCAATTTGGATATTGTGTACACTTCGTATAATTTAGATTGTATACACGATCGACGACGAGTCATTTTGATCTCTTGGTTCAAACACCGCGTCGAACGTTATCATTCGCGTTACGACATTACTCTTTATGCCTTTCGCCTTTTTAGTGTCCTTTTTGCCATCCTCACCTTTGCTTTGAGACCAACGAATTCGACTATTATCGCATCGTTATTTTCGTCCTTCATCATACTGAATACTTTTTTGTTCGCGAGAGGCATATCATATGCGCTGTCCGTCAAATAATCGCTCGTGACGAATCTAGCATTTCATAGTCTCGTAAACGTCCTTGCACTCGACGCGGTATAAGACTGTCCGTGTCAGTGTCCATAATTTTACATTTGTCACGAAACAGTGGTAACATATACTCGTGGTGAAATTCGTACAAGCAGACTTTCGATATGTCGAGTATACACATACCCACGTAAAATCGGCTTGTTGAACTTCACTTCAAGTTTGAGCAATTCAACGGCGATCAAATTTTCTGCAAAGACGCTACGGCTGTGGAAATTTGGTTTCGCGATTATTGCTTCAATGCCGTATCATCCCTCCCATATTGTTAATAATTTTACGTCAACGTGGTTTCGTACATTCTCCGTAGTTATATCGAATACCGCGTTGTTCATTAATTTATATAAATTTTTTTCGAAATCATTTTTTGCGCGAGTTCTGAAATTTGTATTAAGTTCAATATAATCGCGAAGCCATGGAGATTGCATGAATTATAGTACCCGATGGA